CTGATCTTTGTGTCCTTGTGTTCTCAGTGCTTAGCTCCACTTACAAGTAAGAGCATGCAGTATTTAGTTTTCTTTTCCTGGGTTAATTCACTTGGGATCATGACCTCCAGCTGCATCCGTGTTGCTACAAAGGACACACTTCTGTCCTTTTTTATGGTTTCATAGTATTCCATTGTATATATGTACCACATTTTCCTTATCCAGTTCACTGCTGTTGGGCACCCGGGTTGATTCCATGTCTTTGCTATGCGAACAGTACTCCTATGCCATGAGCATAGGAGTACACGTCTTTTTGGTAGAATGATTTACTTTGCTTTGGATGTATACCTAGTAACAGAATTGCTGGGTCAAATGGTAATTCTGTTTGAAGTTCTTGAGAAACTTCCAAACTGCTTTTCACAGTGGCTAATTTACATTCCCACCAACAAAGGTTTTTTTTGTTTTTGTTTTTGAGACAAAGCCTTGTTCTGTCGCCCAGGCTCACTGTAGCTTTGACCTCCTGGGCTCAGGTGATCCTCCCACCTCAGTCTTGTGGGACTGCAGGCACACGCCACCACACTTGGCTAATTTTTAAAAATTTTTTTGTAGAGACAGGGTGTCACTTTGTTACCCAGGCTGGTCTTGCACTCCTGGCCTCTAACAGTCCTCCCACCTCAGCCTCCCGAAGTGCTGGGATTATAAACATCAGCCAACATGCCCAGCCCTGTGATTTTAATTTGCATTAAAATACTTTTGATTTTATGATAGATGCTATAGCGTTAAACGTGAAAAGGCCCAGGACATGTGGATCTTAGAAGGCACCTGCTTCCATATCAGCCGTCTTTGTCAGCAGCTTCCTGTTGCATGGCTTGTGGCTCCGGCTTGAAGCTCAGCATCTTCAGCCCTTGCCTTCTCCCCTGTGTGATTTTCTTACATCTTGGCAAAGGCCTGCACTTGCCGCACAATGCTGCTGTGTGTCCAGGCCATCTTTCTGGGTGTGATACCCTGTGTATTGAGGAATCTCCCAACCAGTACCCGTGACCCTGCTATACCTTGTAAACCAATGCCTGTTGCATACCCAGACCAACCTGGTGATGAGAGGGTTTAACACCTTTGTAGGCCAGGTGCCTTGGCTCACACCCATAATCCCAGCACCTTGGGAGGCCGAGGCAGGTAGATTACTTAAGTTCAGGAGTTCAAGAGCAACCTGGCCAGCATGGCGAAACCCTGTCTCTACTAAAAATACAAAAATTAGCTAGCGTGGTGGTGCACACCTGTAATCCCAGCTACTTGGGAGACTGAGGCACGAGAATCACTTGAACCTGGGAGGTGGAGGTTGCAGTGAGCCGAGATTGTGCCATTGCACTCCAGCCTGGGCAACAGAGCAAGACTGTCTCAAAAAAGAAAACACCTTTGTAATAATATCTCAACCAGTGGGTAGAGCTGTGACTGGCCATCAGCTGAGCTCCAAACCCAGGCTTGCCGGCCTCTCCATGAATACCTGACAGGTTCGCCACATTTTTTGTGTCCAAATCAGGCTCAACTTTTCCTCCATACAGGTGGTCTCCCCTCCTGAACCTGGGAAGCATCTGAGGTTTTTCTGTGTCCTTTGCCTGGTGATGGGATCTGAAAGAGCTTCCTCCTTCCTTGCCTACATTGCTGCTGTTTTTGTGTTTGTTCAGGCTCTTCCTAGTTCTCTCCTGGCTTACAGTCACATTTCCTAACTGGTCTTAAAACTCTTACTTTGCTGGTCTTTTGTCACATGGGAGCTGAAGTGGCCTTTCTTTGTACCCTTTGTGTTCCAGGAAGGACTCAGGTGTCTTCCAGGCATCGGATCATATTACTCTCTTGCTCAACACCTGTCGTCACCTTAGGGTGAAGTGGTTTTCATCTCATTCAAGTGCCCCTTCCCGTTAAAAAGCTGGCCATAGCAGCCTCTTCCCCATCTGATGGGGATGTGCCTCTGGCTTGGGCCTCCATTGCCACTTCAGTCCCCTGGCTGAGGTATTGCCTCAAGGATTCCATTGTGGGTATTTGAACCTCTGTTGAGGTCAAGAAGCCCCACCTCAGCATCCCGAATAGTTGAGACTACAGATGCCTGCCATCACGCCCAGCTAATTTTTTGTATTTATTTATTTTTATTTTTTTTTATATATTTTTTTAAGACGGAGTTTCGCTCATTACCCAGGCTGGAGTGCAATGGCGCGATCTCGGCTCACCGCAACCTCCACCTCCTGGGTTCAGGCAATTCTCCTGCCTCAGCCTCCCGAGTAACCGGGACTACAGGCACGCACCACCATGCCCAGCTAATTTTTTGTATTTTTAGTAGAGACGGGGTTTCACCATGTTGACCAGGATGGTCTCGATCTCTTGACCTCGTGATTCACCCGCCTCAGCCTCCCAAAGTGCTGGGATTACAGGCGTGAGCCACTGCGCCCGGCCAATTTTTTGTATTTTTAATAGAAATAGAGTTTCATCATGTTGACCAGACTGATCTTGAACTCGTGACCTCAAGTGATTCACCTGCCTCAGCCTCCCAAAGTGTCGAGTTTACAGGTGGGGGCCATCGTGCCTGGCCAGTCTGAGCCATTTAGAAGTAGTGTTTGGCTGGGTGCGGTTGAACCCAGGAGGTGGAGGTTGCAGCGAGCTGAGATTATGCCACTGCGCTCCAGCCTGGGCAACAGAGCAAGACTGTGTCTCAAAAAAGGAAAGGAAAGGAAAGGGGAAAGGGAGGAAGGAAGAAAGAGAGAGAAACAGAGAGAGAGAGAGAAAAGAAAGAGAAAGGAAAGAGAAAGAGAGAGAAAGAAAGAGAGAGAGAGAAAGAAAGTGTTATGGACCAGAGTTGAACTTCTCCAAGTATACTGTGCAGGCATGTCCCCTGGGGACCTGGCTGAAGTGCAGGTTCTGGTTCAGGAGGTCTGGGATGAGACCCAAAATTCTGCATTTCCAATGAGATCTGGGTGATGCTGCTTCTCTGAGGAGCACATTTTGAGTAGCCGGGGGGCTGCAGAGTCCAGAAATAAACCCAAGGATGGGTGTATATCTAGCAGATAACAGAGGTAGGAAAGGGCTGGTTTATTTCATGGGTCACAGAGTCAGATGGCTGTCAGAGCTGGGAAGTGTGTGAAGCAGCTGGTGTCAGGCTATAGGGAACACTGGGGCCTGAAGATTATGTTCCTTCTACCTTAGTGTTCACTTTCAAATTTAAAAAGGAGGTGAAGAAAAGAGAGGAAGGAAGCAAGGCTTACTCCAATATCACCTCAAAATGTTTCCATTTTGAGGTGATGTTGGACGGCCTGGGTGGGACTTAACATGGCACTCATATCACAAAGGAAAATACATTAGCATGAATTCCAGAAGCATGAAATCTCTAAATGTAAAAAATAAAGCTATGAAAATGTTAGAAGAATTGAAAGAACGTGTGTATAACCTTGAGGTAAGGTAGACCTCCTTAGGCGAGGTTGAAATCCATGAAAACTATCTGGTATCATATAGGCATGAAGGCAAGGTCAAAAATAATGGCCAGTATCACTGAAGTTTAAGAAAGTAAACTGTTCTTAACCCATCGAATTGACGGAAGTTTTAGAGTGACAGGATCCAGTACTGCTAAGGGGAAAGGAAGACTCTCCTTCAGTGCAGGGCATCTGGAAATGTTTATCAGAATGAAAATCGCATACCCTTTGATCTAGATTTTGGAAGTCTAGCTTAGCTCACAAAACAAAGTATCAATAAATATAAGTGTAGTGGCGCATGCCTGTAATCCCAGCTACTCCAGAGGCTGAGGGAGGAGGATTGCTTGAGCCCAGAAGTTCAAGACCAGCCTGGGCAATATAGTGAGACCCTATCTGTTTAAAAAAAAAAAAAAATTGAAAAAATAATTTAGGTATCATTAAATGACAATAAATAAGATTTTTAACAAGGACTTTTGTAATTTCAGAAGAGGGGAGAATTATAAATTGGGTCCCCGAAGTGCCCATCACCTAGCTTCAGCAATAAATGGCATTTCACTAATCTTGGTTTCTTTCTTCTCCTGTACTTATTCCCTGCCCCCACCCTTGAGTTCTTTAAAGCTAATTCTAAACATGTCATGTCACCTGTAAATAATTCAATATACATCTCTAACTGATCAGAGGCTTTAATATACAAACACGTAGCCACAACCCCAAATGCACTAATTCCTTAGTAGCAGCTAATACCAGTCCACTCCACATTCAGATTTCCCTTATTTTCTCAAAATATCTTTTTACAGTTAGTTTATTTGAGTCAGTTCAAACAAGCACCACACACTGTATCTGGTTATATGTTTCTCAGATGTAGTAGTACATACTTAATACAGCACTGCTTGTAGTGGCAAAAAGAGGCACACACACAAAATAAATGGGACAAGAATGCCTGTAAAGCAGGCAATGATTTTGCCTGTAGACAGGATTAAAAGAGAGTGGGGTGGAAGAGGGGTTGTTAATGTTTTTTTAAAAAACCTCTAGAACATTTGACTTGGTACAAAGTGCACGTTTTTATACTTGAAGAGAAAATCTTAATAAAAAAGCCAGCCGGAGCCGGGCACGGTGGCTCAAGCCTGTAATCCCAGCACTTTGGGAGGCCGAGGCGGGTGGATCACGAGGTCAAGAGATCGAGACCATCCTGGTCAACAGGTGAAACCCCGTCTCTACTAAAAAAATACAAAAACATTAGCTGGGCATGGTGGTGCGTGCCTGTAATCCCAGCTACTCAGGAGGCTGAGGCAGGAGAATTGCCTGAACCCAGGAGGCGGAGGTTGCGGTGAGCCGAGATCGCGCCATTGCACTCCAGTCTGGGTAACACGAGTGAAACTCCGTCTCAAAAAAAAAAAAAAAAAAAAAGCCAGCCGGGTGCGGTGGCTCATGCCTATAAACCTTGGTTGGTGAATCCTGGTAGATTAAAACTTTGCACATCTGTTGATTCCATGGTATTAGGGTGATTTGGGATCCGTGCTTTGCTATCAGTGTTTAACACTCTGTTATCTTCTATCCTCTTCCCCTCAGGCATCCACCATGTTGCGAGCCTCCTTGGCACCCGTGTAAGTAACTGCTCTTAGGAATTTTTATTAAGGAGAACAGCAATGCGTAAAACGGGAATTCAAAGTGTCTTTAATAAACACTCATCTTAGCAGCCTAGTTTAGAGAAATGCTACATTTGAGCTAGAACTACATGTGAATATTAAAGGAAATATGAGTACTTATAAGTAATGTTGTTAAACCAGAATAATCTTTTTTTTTTTAGATGGAGTTTTGTTCTTGTTGCCCAGGCTGGAGTCCAATGGTGCAGTCTTGGCTCACTGCATCCTCTGCCTTTTGGGTTAAAGTGATTCTCCTGCCTTAATCTCCCAAGTAGCTGGGATTACAGGCATGTGCCACCACACCTGGCTAATTTTGTATTTTTAGTAGAGATGGGGTTTCTCCATGTTGGTCAGGCTGGTCTCGAACTCCCAAACTCAGGTGACCTGCCCGCCTCGGCCGCCGAAAGCGCTGGGATTACAGGCATGTGCCACTGTGCCCTGCCATCTTTTATTTATTCTATTTCTTTGGTAAGGAAGCCTCAAATGAAAAAAATTGTTGAATTGTTCATATGGCATTTTATAGAAATGAATTGAATCTACTACCATAGTGCAATCCACAGAGCATTGCAGTGTCTGAATTTATGTTGTCTGCTGGATCACGCTGTGATCAGGGCCATGGGCAGCTGTGTGTATGCCTGAGCACTCCTGTTCTGATCATTTGGGCTGTTCCCCTTGGGAGTGTCTTATGCTGTAGGGGACTGTGGCGATGGAGTTGAGAACCTTTGACTTGGACATATGGACCAGGGTGGCTTCTGGGACCCTCTGAGCCAGCTTGGTGGGGAAGGCGAGGAAGACAGGGGTACTGTGCGATTCCTCAGACACCTGAGATGCCCACAGCATTCCTCCTCCCTCAGCCCTGCCTGCGTCTGACCTTGACCCTGCACTTTATTCTCTCCTATCACTTTGGCAGCAGTATCACTTACTGCACGATGGCTAGGGTTAAAAGCCCACCTCTGCTACCCACCCTGTGACCAGGGATTACTTATATAATTTCTCTGTGCCTCAGTTTCCTCATTTATAAAATGAGAAGAATCATAGTAATTCTATTATAGGATTATTGTGAGATAAAAATTAGCTAATACATATACCGCACTTAGCATTTGGTGTAATACTGGAGTATTACACTAAAATGAGGAAATTATCGTTGATACAGTACTGTGAACTACACTGCAAACCTCATTAAATTTCACCAGTTTTTCCATGCCCTCTGATCTCCTCTGCTACAATAAAACAACAAAACAAAACGTGAAGACACTTATGTTAGTGACAGGGAAGCTGAGGTGATGATTCCTTTCGTTTCTGGCTGACTGAAGGCAGATGGCGGGGCAGTCTGAGCTGTGTGGATCTCAAATCTGAGACCTCTCCTCACTGAAACCTAGCTCCCCTGAGATCTTTGACTTGGAATCTTCCTGAGGAGGGTCTGCAAATTGTCCTACAACCCATCTCCTGGCTGTGTTCCCATGCCGCTTCCTGACCACGCCTTCTGCCTCCTCGGAGGGCTGAGCCACCCACCTACTTACTCGTTTTTTCTTTCTTTTTTTTTTTTTTTGAGATGGACTCTTGTGGTGTCTTGCCTATGCCGTAGTGCAGTGGCGCAATCTCAACTCACTGCAGCCTCTGCCTCCTGGGTTCAAGCAATTCTCCTGTCTCAGCCTCCCGAGTAGCTGGGACTACAGGCATGTGCCACTCTACCTGGCTAATTTTGTGTTTTTAGTAGAGACAGGGTTTTACCATATTGGCCAGGCTGGTCTCAAACTCCCGACCTTAGGTGATCCACCTGCCTGGGCCTCCCAAAGTGCTGGGATTACAGGTGTGAGCCACTGCACCCAGCCTCTGCCTACTTATGCTTCACACTTATTTCCTGACTGTTGTTCATCTTCCCCCAATCCAGTTGCTCAGGCTTGAGAGGAACAGTGGCTTCAGGTGTTGAGGTAGAACACTTAGGGCCTGCGGATGCTCATCGTCTTTGGACTGTGTCCAGAATTCTAAACAGGACTTCAGTGGAAAGTTATGATGCCCCCAAGGTGATTTATTCCCCATCCTAGGGGCCTCTGGCTGAAGGTAAATCTGTAGGGGTTTCTAAATCTGTTCAGGCAGAGACTCCTTGTTTTAGGAAAATTGTTGAACAGAATCTCAGTCCTCCAACAGAACAGGCAGAGCTGAGCTGGTTGAAGCTGAGGTAGGCGCCTAGACCCCAGGCTGTCCTCTAGGTGGAAGCTGGTAGGTCATGCTGGGAGCCCAGGGGAACAGCAGTTCTAGATCGGGTGCCATAATGCTCAGGAGGTGTAATGAACATGCCCTTTTGCCCTTTTCTTTCTGTTTGAACTTGTGTTGCTGAGTAGGAAATTGAAGGATGTCCCATTACTGCCCTCTCTGGATTATGAGAAACTGAAGAAGGATTTGATTTTGGGGAGTGACCGCTTGAAAGCCTTCTTGTTGCAGGCTCTGCGCTGGGTAGGTACCAAACCAAACCAGTGGTTTTCTTGGCTGGCTACCTTGCCTGTATCTTTTAACCCATCTTCCAGAAATCATTTTCCCCTCTGTCTGCTGACACCAAGAACAGAAGTTGAAAGCCGCTTCTGAAGATAGCCTGGGCCTCCTTTAAGAAACCCCTATATTATGACAATTGTGATGTAATGAGTTAAATAAATGAATTTCAAGGCCAAGAAGACTGTACCTGCCTGTGGCCCTTTCCTGGCCGTGAGCCCCACTCTGCTTGTGGGGGCCTGTGTGTGAGCACATGGAGTCAGGGTTGCCCACAGCCCCACAGAGGCTCTGTATTCAGGCCCTGCTGTGCAGTCACCCTGGAGAAGTACCAAGGAAAGAACTCCTGTTCTCAAGATTCTAAGGGAAGTGGCCTGGTCTCCGTCGTTACTTTTCTCCCTACCCTTCAGCTTGAGTACAGTTGAAGTCAGCAGTTGGTTCTCAGGCTTTTTAGTGTCAGACCCCTTTCCACTCTCAAAAATTATGGAGGACCTCAAAGAGCTTTCATTTATGTGAAGTTATTTGATCTACCAATGTTTATAGCATTTGAAATTAAAAATGAGAAGATTTGCCTGGGCGTGGTGGCTCACACCTGTAATCCCACTAACTTTGGGAGGCCAAGGTGGGCTGATCACCTGAGGTCAGGAGTTCTTCAAGACCAGCCTGGCCAACATGGCAAAATCCTGTCTCTACTGAAAATACAAAAAATTAGCTGGGCGTGGTGGCAGTTGCCTATAGTCCCATCTACTCAGGAGACTAAGGCAGGAGAATCGCTTGAACCCAGGAGGTGGAGGTTGCAGTGAGCTGAGATCATACCACCGCACTTCAGCCTGGGCAGCAGAGTGAGACCCCATCTCAGAAAACAAAAAAACAAAACTGAAGATTTGAAATATGTGTTTATTAATTCATTTAAAATGAACACTAATAAGCAAATGACATGTTAACATAGATAACACTTTTTATGACGAATACTGCTTTCCAAACAAAATTGTGAGAAGAGCAGCACCGTTCTGCAGATGTCTTTAATGTCTGGCTTGATGGAAGAAGCTGGATTCTCATATCGGCTTTGTTTTTGACTGTCAATGTCACACTTCATATAGCCTCTCAGAGACTGAACATAAAAAATGCATGATTGTATCTTACTATTAGGAAAATTGTGACCTTGCAGACCCCCTAAAAGGGTTTGGAGGACCTCTCAGGGTTCCCTGGACCACACTGTGGGAACTGCTGGCTCTAGCCACACTGATTGAACCGGCACTTCTTTAAGGGAACAGTCCGTTTGAATTCGTTAGCATCAGACATCTTCATGGACCCCTGCATTTCAAGGTATCTTGGCATCAGGATCCTTAGCAATTTTCCATCTGTGGGTAGAAGCAGTTCTTACTTGCACACGAGTGAATGGCAATACTTCCTGAAACACATCTTGAGGAGGACTCTGACGACATATCCAGGATCTGCAGGAAGTGTCCTGTGGAAAGCAGTGATGTCTGCTCTGGTTTTGGTTGGGTCAGGACTCCAGTGGGTGGGGCAGCATGGGTCATCAGCAGTGGCTGTCTCCTCCCTGGCCATTTACCTCTCTCTGCTCAAGGTCTCAAACTCATCTTTGATTTGCCCCTTGGTTTACTGATGCTGCACTTCCTCTCAGTCTGTGCTACTCCTGAGCCTCTTGCTGAGACAGGGTATTCCTTTGCTAAGAGAGTGACATCTTCACAGAATAACCAGGAAAAGTGAAAGGTTTCTTAGGATTTCGTCTGTGTCCCTCTCCAGTGGCCCCACCTGGCTTCTTGCCCCTGTTTCTATTATACCCGAGTGAGTTTAAACAGAAACGCCACATTCTGAGTTTGTTGAGAGTCCACCTTTAATGACTGGCGTCCGAGAGTTAGCTAGAGCTCAAATCTCTCGGCCTAGAACAAAGGGCAGTCAACATTTTTATACCAGTTTAGGGTCAGGGGGTGGTAGGCAGATTATTACAGAAGCAGAAGGAGCAGGTTAGGGGAATCCAGGAGGTGGGGAGCCTAACAACAAAATTCTATTTAAAGTTGTTTTCACTTAGGATGTGGGGTAGGCAGTTACACAGTTGCAGGTACAGGATGTATGGGCCAGTGGGCCCTGTTTCTCAGAAAATTGGTTACAAAGATGGCAGCTGTCTCAGACCACAAGCTCTGGGAACAGAATGCCCAACATAGCTCAGGGTGGGCAAAATGGAGTTGGCAGGATTGTTCAAAATGTATTCATCACAGCCAAGCTAGGTTAGTTCACTTCAACCTCAGTGAACTCAACAGAAGAGCAGCAGCGCCCCCGATGTGACATTCTGGGCACACCCTGGCCCTGGTGGTCACATCTGTTGGTAGTGCCTGCTCTGGAGGCCTCTCCGGCTCTCCTTCTAGCCCAGGGGTCTGATGCTGTGGCCTGCACTCTTGCCCATGCTAAGAACTAGCATATTCTAGGCCGGGCGCGGTGGCTCAAGCCTGTAATCCCAGCACTTTGGGAGGCCGAGGCGGGTGGATCACGAGGTCAAGAGATCAAGACCATCCTGGTCAACATGGTGAAACCCCGTCTCTACTAAAAATACAAAAAATTAGCTGGGCATGGTGGCGCGTGCCTGTAATCCCAGCTACTCAGGAGGCTGAGGCAGGAGAATTGCCTGAACCCAGGAGGCGGAGGTTGCGGTGAGCCGAGATCGCGCCATTGCACTCCAGCCTGGGTAACAAGAGTGAAACTCTGTCTCAAAAAAAAAAAAAAAAAAAGAACTAGCATATTCTTTACACATCCAGCTTCTCTTTGGCTAGAAGCAGGGCTTGCAGCCTCGGGATATTTATGTAGCAGGATTTTCCTGAAAAAGCAAGGATAGTTGCTCACTCTGTTACATGCTTTTTCATATCCCATGTCACACCTGTACACACCCAAGTGCACACTCACACACCCATTTTACATGCTCTCCACATGAAAGTTTTCTTCTAGCCCTGTGGACATTGCGTAAATTTTTACTTGTAGCAACATAACAGACTTACGGCTTTCTAAAATCTACAAAATTCTAGCCAGCTACCTCTACACTCATCATGCATGCATGCACACATGCACACACACACATGCACACATTCCCTATAAGAAAGGATAGAGTGAATTTGTTGGCAGGGCATACATTCAGAGCGCTCAGCAGTCAGCCTTGGGCCCCTCCCATTGAGCCATGCCACTGTGCCCTGTATTGTACCTCCCTGAGCTAGACCTCACTTTCCTATCCCCCACCATGCTCATGCTCCCCTGTGCTGGTTAATAGGCTGCCCTTCCTGCAGGGGCAAGCTCCTGAGCCCCTTTGTACAAGAAATGCCTCTCTGGGCATGGATGAGCTCTCCACTATCTGCACACTTATGATCTTAGCATTTTGCTGCTTCACTTCTCTGGAGATTTCACATGTATAAGTTGGCTCAAACATCCGCTGTGTCACCCATTAGGAAGCACATCATAGGTTCTTGTTATTTGGTTAACCAGTTAACTCACCCCTCACAGCTGGATATTATTTATTTTGTTTGGTTAAATGTGTAGTTACTGATACTGCCATTTAAAACACACCTGCTACGTGAAACTTTTCTCCATTATAAGACTAAGAAAAAGTTTTTTCTTTGCTCCAGCGCTTGACCACATCCCATCCTGGAGAGCAGAGGGAAACCGTTCTGCAGGCCTACATCAGCAATGACCTCTTGGACTGTCATAGCCACAACCAGGTTGGTAAGAGGTGGCTCACATCATGGCCAGGGCCTTCAATTCTAGGTAATGATCTTAGCATTGTTCCCCATCTGGGGGAAGCTTTAATTTCTGTGCACATTTTCAGCATCATAATTGTGTGTCAGCCTTGAGCTCGTGAGATCTTTTGTTCACCCTGGGCATTGTCCTACTTTTTGCTTCTAGTAAAGAGTTCTAAACAAGTTAGAACTGCTTGATTCATCATCTCTGGAGCTCTTTTTTGCCGTTTTTCCTTTTCTCAAATTCCTCTTTGACCTCACTTCACGCTGCTTGCCATAAGTACTGAAAACTGAGTATGACTTCAGAGGTACGAAGTAGGTAAGCAAATTCAGGTTGGTTACATCTGGGCCTGACTAACAGTGTCTTTAATACAGTACATATATATAGTTTTGGACCAGATAGGTCTACTGATCCTGTGGGATAAGTATGAGATTTGGGGTAAAATAAACTTTCTTTCCAACCTCTGCTCTACCACTCATTAGCCAGGTCACTGTAAGCGAGTTACTCAATCTCAGGCATTTCCTCGTCTGGGAAAGGAGCTGTGCCTGCCTTGGGAGGTTGTTGGGATGATTACATACAGTCATATGTGGGAGTCCTTAGCTCCAGGCCTGGCACTGAACAGTCACTAATGGTCTTTCTCTCTGTCCCTGCCCCTCCTATCTGTATCTGCACTAAACTTCACTGGACGGGAGGAGGATCAGGATTTTGAATTTGGCACATGTTAAGATGGTACTACATTTTATTATTTCAGTTGAATTTTTATCCAGAATGTGGTAAAAATGTATGTTAAACTTCACAATGTATGCACTGAGTGGAGTATCAAATTATCTTAATTCTCACTGATTAAATAACCGTGTTAGGCCATTCCCTGCTGCTAGAACAGAATACCACAGATTGAGTAATTTATAAACAATACAGATATATTGTACTCAGCAGTTCTGAAGTCTAGGAAGTCCAAGAGCGTGGTGTCAGCATCTGGCAAGAGTCATCCCAAAGCAAAAGGCAGAAGGCAGAAGTGAGCACGCAAGACAGAGAATGGAGGGTGAAGCTGTCTTTTTATCAGGAGGTTACTCACGATAACTAACCCACTCCAGCAATAATGGCAGTAATCCATTAATGCCTAATATCTTAAAGGTCCCGCCTCCCTGTGCTACAACATTGGCAATTAAATGTCAATATGAGTTTTGGTGGGGACTTTCAAACCATAGCAACAGACCCTGGGAAAGCGATGTACACATTAATCTGTTTTGCATACAGGCAATACAATTTGAGTTTCAAGTTGCCAGTTTACTCTGCGAATGTAATCTTAATGCTCTCATGAAAGAGTTGTGTTAAGTTTGAAAATACTCTCATATTCTTGACTTATTTTCTTGCCTTTTTTCCTGTTGGGTTTTTAATGGCATTGAATCCAGCCTATAAGGCATGAAGCAGCTGAATCATATATTGTTACAACTTCCAAACTCAAATTCAAGGAGTAAAGTCAATACTGATTATTTCTAACATTATTTCATTGAGTCGAAGATACACTTTTCCCCGTCTTAACATCTTTGCCAGTGGGGTGTATCTGACAGTGAATGGCATATTATAGTTTAATTGGCAGTGTTTTTCTTTTCTTTCTTGATTATACGTAAAACGATAATGTGTCCTCTTATGAAAGGTGTCTTGCGTTTTGTCATCTGTAGTTTTTGTCAAAAATACAGTGATCTCCATAGTCATTGAAGAGAATAATTTCTTCCTCAAGTCATTATATATAATTCTTGTGGTTTATTTATTTATTTTGAGATGGAGTCTCACTCTTGTTGCCCAGGCTGGAGTGCAATGGTACAATCTCTGCTCACTGCAACTCCACCTCCTGGGTTCAAGCGATTCTCCTGCCTCAGCCTCCCAAGTAGCTAGGATTACAGATGCCTCCCACCACACCCAGCTAACTTTTGTATTTTTAGTAGAGAGACCACTAAAAATCTTTCACCATTTTGGCCAGGCTAGTCTCAAACTCCTGACCTCAAGTGATCCGCCCACCTCAAGTCTCCCAAAGTGCTGGGATTACAGGCTTCAGCCACTGCGTCCAGCTATGGTTTACTTAAGAAGAAATGAGCTGAACCCTTTTACACTGCTGGTGGCAATGTAAATTAGTACAACCGCTATGGAAAACAGTATGAAGATTCCTTAAAGAACTCAATGTAGAACTACCATTTGGTTCAACAATCCCACTACTGGGTATCTATCCAAAGAAAAATAAGTCATTATATGAAAAAGACACATGTACACACATGTTTTCAATTTGCAGTTACAAAGATTTGGAACCAACCTAAGTGCCCATCAACCAATGAGTGCTTAAAGAAAACGTGGTATATATATACCATGGGATACCACTCAGCCATAAAAAGGAATGAAACAATGTCTTTTGGGGCAACTTGGATGGAGTTGGAGGCCATTATTCTAAGTGAAGTAACTCTGGAATAGAACACCAAATATCATATATTCTCACTTATAAGTGGGAGCTAAGATATGAGGATGCAAACAAAAATGATATAATGGACTTTGCACAGGTGACAGTGTTCACTGTACCCAATGGGTGCACTAAAGTCTCAGAAATCACTACTAAATAACTTATCCATGTAATTAAAAACCACCTGTAGCCCATAAACTTGAAATAATTTTTTTTTTTTAAAGAAAAGAAGAAATAGGCCAGGTGTGGTGGCTCATGCCTGTAATCCCAGCATTTTGGGAGGCCGAGGCAGGTGGATCACCTGAGCTCAGGAGTTTGAGACCAGCCTGGCCAACATGGCGAAACCCTGTCTCTACTAAAAATACAAAAATTAGCCAGATGTGATGATGCATGCCTATAATCCCAGCTACTTGGGAGGCTAAGGCAGGAGAATTGCTTGAACCTGGAAGGCAGAGGTTGCAGTGAGCCAAGATCATGCCACTGGACTCCAGCCTGGGCAGCAGAGTGAGACTCTGTCTCAAAAAAAAAAGAAAAAAGAAAGAAATGAGTGTAAGTTGTCTTAAGATGTCAGAGAATCTGCAAGGCAGAAAGATTCCTTGTCCAACATGGATGTGTCACTATGGCACCATGGTAACCTGGCCTGTACACACAGGAAATTGAATTCCTTGGTTTGTCCCTCTCCTGTAGTGGTTCTCAAAGTTAAATGTGCATCATTATCTCCTGGAGGTCTCATTAAAACACAGATCAGGTCCCACCAACAGTTTCTGTTCAGTAGGTCTAGGGTAGGGCCCAAGGATTTGCATTTCCAGCAAGTTTTCCAGCCATGCCAATACTGCTGATCCAGGGTGCTTTGAGAATTACAGTTTGAGACCAAAAACTTGAATGGAGCCAAATTTAATGAAATTGCAAGGCTGCATTTTTCATTTTTAGCTGAATTCTGAATTTTTCATTTTTAGCTGAAACCTGAGCTCAGGAGTTCGAGACCAGCCTGGCCACATGGTGAAATCCGTCTCTACTAAAAATACCAAGTTCTTCATATCTCTAACCATCTTAACCACTTTTAAGTGTACATTTGAGTGGTATAAAATGCATTCATAATGCTGTGCAAACATCATGTACCGTCAATCTCCATAAACAACTTTTTTCTTCTTGTAAAACTGAAACTTTGTACCTGTTAAGCAATAATTCTCCATTTCCCCTCACTCCAGGCCGCTGGCAAATTCCCATTCTACTGTTTGTCTCTATGATTGTGACTACTACAAATACCTCATATAAGTAGAATTGTCCACTGTTTTTCTTTTTGTGACTGGCTTATTTCACTTAGCTAATATCCTCAGCTTCATCCACGTTGTAGCATACGTCAGAGTTTCTTTCCTTTTTAAGGCTAATGCTTCCTCATATGGATGGACCAGATTTTGCTCATCTATCTGTTCCTCTGTCAGTGGACATTTGGGCTACCTCCACCTTTTGACTACTGTGGATAGTGCTGCTGTGAAGTGTGCATGCACATCCTGACTTCTGTGTTAATTCGTTCCTTGCTTTGTAGTTCTCCCATCTATGTATATAGCCTGCATAATACCATGTTTGCTTTTGTGCTGAGTAGCAAGTACCAGCCTCACTCTGCAAGGAAACGGGACTGTGCCCATGTTAGATGAAGTTACCTAGGAGAAAATGGCATAAACAAAAGTTTGGGATAATAGTTGGACATAGCTTCCCAGAACATTTATTATTCCCTCCGGTGACATTGGTAATCAAAGCTGGGAGAGAGTCCTGTGAAACCTAGACCATGTGGCAGAATTGAAAGATCATCCAGCTGCCAGTTGTCCAGCAGCAATATTGATTGATTGAGACAGAGTCTCACTGTCACCCAGGCTGGAGTACAATGGCACAATCTTGGCTCTCTGCAACCTCCATTTCCTAGATTCAAGCAATTCTCCTGCCTCAGCCTTCCAAGTAGCTGGGACTACAGGTGTGTGCTACCACACCCAACTAATTTTTGTATTTTTAGTAGAGATAGGGTTTTGCTGTGTTAGCCAGGCTGGTCTCAAACTCCTGACCTCAGGTGATCCGCCCACCTCGGCCTCCCAAAGTGCTGGGATTACAGGTGTGAGTCACCGAGCCTGGCCCAGCAGCAATATTTATGCCCAAGGGCAATGGTGAGCTGCTCTGTATTTTGGCTTGTAAGTGTACCTGATCTAGCTCTCAGGAGTCGATCACTTGAGAATACTTCTGTGGGGGTAAAAGGACAGTTCACAGCTAATTCATACAGGGCATGGAAGTGGGAGCTGGAACCTCACTAGCACATGTCAGGGTTATCCAAATGCCAGTAAGAGTCTGGGCTCGTCTCACTGGACATTTTGTATTCTGTTTACAAATTAGGACATGGTATACTACTTTGTAACACAGGCAGCATTTACTAAAACTGAATTCCTCATGTCCTAGCAAAGCCTCTCCTAGGTATGGCCCCAACAAAAACCTGCCCATATTTTCACTAAAAAACATACAAGAATATTCATAGCTGCACTTCTTATAAGAACCAAAACGCTGGCTGCAACCCAAATGTCAATCAGCAGTAGAATGAATACCTGTGAAGTATTTGTAAAATGGAACACCTTAAGCAATGAGAAGGAGCACACAGCAGAGACCACGGATGAACACCACAAGCAGATTGTTGAATGAAAAAGTCAAATATAAGAGAATATATAATATATGGTTTCATTTATTTAAAAATTTAAAACCGGCTGGGCTCGGTGGCTCACGCCTATAATCCCAGCACTTTGGGAGGCCAAGGCGGGTGGATCACAAGGTGAAGAGATCGAGACCATCCTGGTCAACATGGTGAAACCCTGTCTCTACTAAAAATACAAAAATTAGCTGGCCATGGTGGCGCGAGCCTGTAGTCCCAACTACTTGGGAGGCTGAGGCAGAAGAATTGCCTGAACCCAGGAGGCGGAGGTTGCGGTGAGCCACTGCACTCCAGCCTGGGTAACGAGCAAAATTCTGTCTTGAAAAAAAAAAAAAAAAATTTAAAACCAAGTAACATGAATCTGTGATGTTAGAAGCCAGGAGAGAGGTCACCCTTGGCTTGGAATGTGGTTCTGGAAGGGCTTCTGGGACCCTGAGCATGTTCTGTTTCTTGACCTGGTTGCTAGTTAGCCGCATGTTCAGTTTGTGAAAACTCATCAGGCTGTATACATGATCTGTGCAGTGTTCTGTGTAGATGCTATACCTCAGTAAAAATTTGACCTCAATTGTTATAATGGTAATAGGCATCTTGGGGACAATGGCCTTTGACCTGTCGCCCTCTTGAGTCAGCTGGGTTTAGTCTGGACAACATCTGTTGTGTAGCTGCCCTCCAGGTGTCTCTTCACCAAACTGTTACTGATTCCTTTGACTGCTCTCCTGAATTGGACCTCTGTTTCCAGTGCCCCATATTATCTTATTTCTTGACTTGTTCTCTTGATTGGTGGAACGCATCCTTGAGTTAATAGCTTCTAGAGAAAAGGTGCACAGGAAGTATATTTTTTGAGATCATGTATGGTCAAAAAATGTTTTCATTCTTTGTATAGAATTCTGGATTGTAAATAATTTTCTTTCAGAATTTTGAAGACGTTGCTGCATTGTCTTTTAGGTTCCGGTTTTGCTGTTCAGAAATCCAAAGCCGGCTGGGCACGGTGGCTCATGCCTGTAATCCTAGTACTTTGGGAGGCCGAGGCAGGAGGATTGCTTGAGCCCAGGAGTTTGTGACCAGCCTGAATAAAACAGTGAGACCCCATTCTCTACCAAAAAAAAAATTTTTTTTTTTTTTTACATTAACCAGGCATGGTGGCATGAGCGTGGAGTCCCAGCTAACTCTGAAGACTGAGGCAGGAGGATTGCTTGAGCCCAAGAAGTCGAGGCTGTGAGCTGTGATCACACCGCTGCATTCCATCCTGGGCAACAGAGTGAGACCTTGACTCAAAAAAAAAAAAAAGGAATCTAAAGCCATTCCGCTTCCTTATCTTTTGTATGTGACCTGTGTTTGTCTCTCTAGAAGCATTTCTTCCTTCTGTCTTCTGTGTTCTCTCTCTGAATGTTGAACCTCCTGAACTGGTTTTCTGTTTTTCTTATAGTTTTTCTCATATTTTGTATCTTTTTGTTTCACTCTCTGGGAGATTTATTTCCTTCTTTCCCTCCCTCCCTCCCTCCTTCCTTCCCTCCCTCCCTCCCTCCTTCCCTCCCTTCCC